TTACGCATGTGGTTTTTTAACTGCATTGATTGGTGCATCAAAACTTTACAGATGTAACATTCATAGTGGCGTCGACTACAATACTTTTCATGTGCATTCTTGTCGTCTTCGTTTGCAAATCGACGATAGCATTTGATGCAACGAATTGGTCGCGGTTTGGCATGCATTTTCAAATGTGTCTTGAGCTGACATTTCAAAACAAACTTCTTATCACACACTTTGCATTGAAACTGTTTTTCGCCTATGTGCTTCAATTGCATGTGGTATTTCAAATGACTTTTCTTGAAACATTTGTACGGGCAGAGATAACATTCGAATCGTCGACGGTTGCATCGATCCTCATGCGTTTTTTTACAGCTTTCTTCAGCAAATCGTTGTCCACATTTTGAGCAGGCAAACGGTAGATGTTTGGTGTGAGTGCGCAAATGTTGGCAAAGATGATATTTTCGTTTAAATGTTTTTGAACAAACGCGGCATTGGAAAGGCTTCTCATCACTATGGATTGCCATGTGTTGTTTGAGACTTGCCAAACGATCAGTGGTGTATTTGCATACAATACATTGGTATTGTCGTTGTTGGCATTGATTTTCGTGTTCGATCTTTTCGACTTTTTGTTCGAATCCTCGACGACACTTTGGACAATGGAATGGATATTCATTGGCATGGACTTTCTTGTGTCGATTCAAAGCATGCTTGTGTGAAAAAGTCTTTGCACATATTTCACATGCAGAAGGCTTTTCACCGGTATGGATTCGGAGATGTGAATTGAGAGTTCCTTTGTGTGATGTTGTATAACTACACAAATGACATTTGTGAATCTTTGGCTTCTCTTCTCCAATCCGCTTCTTTGATTTTGATTTCCGTCCACGTTGCCCTTTGTTATTGTGTGTATTTTGTCCTGAACGATGTCGACGATCACCACTTCTATTATCGCCTTTGCGTTGATTTGAACCATCATCTTGTGTCGATGAGCACCAATTCTTCTTCGAACACTCTTCTTCATCTTCACTCTTGATTTCTTTCTTCACACAATCAAGATCGTATTTCGTGCTCGACTCGCTGTCGCTCTCGCTCTCGGACTTAACCGTGCCATTTACATTAATCGATATTGGTGATGGTGCTGGCGAAAAATGAATCAATTCAGCGCCATCTCTTGGCTCCTCTTTGACAACGACTTCTTCTTTGATTGTAACCTTCGATGCTGCATGCTTGCACTTGCACCTGCGCTTGCTCTTTCCACCTAATGTACCTTTGACTGAATACGGATTCATTGTGATTTTGACCAACTACGCGAGGAAGAAAAAATAAAACAAACTCATTTAAGCTTTTAGGCGACATAAAATGCATATGCTTTTGATGGAAATGGATTTTTTAATTAAAATCTGTATTAAGTCTGATTGAAAACATACAAAGAAGAATGAGACCAATAAAAATATCCGAAATCCCAAAAATTGTCCTGTATTTTATTATTTGCCATGACTCACGGCCCATGATTTACTTAAAAAATGTAACATAACCTCTCCGAAAATACTAAATACCCAAATGTAGCGCTAGCAAAATCGCCGAGTGTCACCAAAACATTCAATTCGTCTAATTTTATTAAAGTCAATTGGTTAAACTCTTTTTTGGAATGAACAATTGAACATTGTCAAAAGTGCAAATACAAACGAATAAAACTCACCTTTGAAATAATGAATTTGTTTGTTCAGAGATCGTATGCAATTATGCTCTTCAAAAAACGTGCTTCTTCCTACAATTGCTGCCTGCTTGTGACTGATCAGTTTCTCTTGTACGCAATGAATCAGCATAATCGACGGCCATTGTACAAAATACGTTTTTTACGTCGTTTGCGTTGGTAACAATTCTGAAGTGAAGTGGACTGCCATCAATTGCCTGCGAATTGAATTACCTTCAAGCGTAAATATTCTTGATTTGTTTTTGAACAAATTAAATTGATTGAAATAATGCAATAAATCGTGAAATTATATGAAATCCTTTATTTTTCAGTCTTAATATTCAAAAAAATTTTTTTTAATTAAAATTACTTCTGCTAAAGCAGTAGCACTGCACCGAAATCAAGACGGCGATTTTAAAGATTTCGCTTCAATATTCCAATTGGTTACATTTACACAATTGACAGCAACCGAAAGATTGGTTAATAGAATTGCGCGCTTCGCAAAGCATCATCATCATTCACAGACCTCATTTCGATATAACTGAACACATCAGCTATTAGCTACTATTAAAAATCATTACCCATTGTCATTTTGTGTGTGAAAAAGTTAAAATTCGAGAAGATTGTTCTACTTGAAATAGTCAACCGATCAAGGTATTTGTTTGTATCCATTTCTTCAATTGTGCAAGAACAACCACCTTCCACTAAATCCTAACCTCAATTTTCAGTACAGCAAAAACAACGAAACAAGACATGTCATCACCAAGCGACGATCCAAATGATATTTTCGCCTACATCGGCAAAAAGCTGTATTTAAGCACTGAACTGGCCGATGTGCACTTTGTGTTCAAGCCCAAAAACGAGCCGATCGTTCGAGTTCCGGCGCATAAAACTTTGTTGGCCGCTGCCAGCAATGTATTTGCCACAATGTTCAACGGGTCGTGGAAGGAGAAGAATGAAGTGCTAATTGTGGACGTGTCAGCCGCCGTGTTTGAGGAATTTCTTCAGTTTTTTTACTTGGATCGTGTGCAATTGACCAAGGAAAATGCTGGCAAAGTCATGAACCTCGGCAATATGTACGATATGGGCACATGTATGACGGTGTGTGAGAAATTCATGAAAAGACACCTCGACGAAGAAAATGTGTGCGAGTACTACGGTTTGGGTATTCTACTCGATCGACCAGGCCTCACGAGCGCATGTGAAGACATAATCGGCGCTGAAACAATGGCAGTATTGAAATCGGCCAGCTTCCAAAATTGCGACAAGAAAACAATGGATGCCATTTTGAAACTCGATTGGCTATCATGCTCTGAAATTGAACTATTCGAAGTTATGTCGTGGGTTAAAACGGCGAGCAAAAAGGAAATTTTGACCAAGCGAATTGTACAATCTCGTCTCGGCAAATCTTTCCAAGATTTTCGATTTGGATCGATGACATTAAACGAATATGCCACTCTCATTCCATCGTATGGAAAAACATTTTCATTCGACGAACAACAGGACATCATTCAAATGATTGCGGACGAGGATTTCGAGTCAAAGATGTTTGATGGAAATCGAGAAAAACGCTGTGAAATGGATCCATGGGACATGAGAGAATTGGTTGAGTGTGATCGATTCCGTTCGTGCGATGAAGAACCATACTTCGTTCAAAATTTGGAAACAACCACATTCTCGATCAATGAAGCGGCTTTTTTAAGTGGATTCTCAACCGTCCGTTTATACGAATACGCTCACTCTCATTTTTACAAAGAAAAGTATTATCTCTCAGCAAACATAACGATCGTCAGAATTTCAATTGCAACGGACCCATCCAGCGACGAAGATGTTGTTTTATACAAAGAAAAAGAAACACTGTATTCACGTCCATCGCAAGTATGGTTGACAAATCCAATTTTTATCAAACCATCATTCAAGTACGAAATTCGATTGAAGCTAAAACCACCCAAAAATTGTGCTTCTGATAGCTTGTTGAAGTCCAAAGTTCGAACTGATTTCGACTTCATCCTACAATTTCATGGTGATGAAGATGATCAAGATGTGAGCAGAGGTCTGATCTCACAACTGAACTTCTACCGAATTTGATTAAAATTAAGCAAATGAAATCCAAAAGGAACTCCGAACATTTTCATTGTTTGTCACTTTTTTCTTGAATTAAAATTCAATAAATAATAATTAATTCAAAAATACTTCCATGGAATTTCAATGTGTTTTTGTAGAATACTGATCGTTGTAAGTTCCAAATGGAAGGTAGGGCGAACAGACACACAATCGTGGAAAGAAATGAAGATAATAATTACGTCGATAGCTCATTGAATATCATGTTTTATTGCACCAGATACAGTCGGTTTGATTTTTCCCATACGCTAACGGTGGCTCATAACTGGGAAGAGTGAAATCTGAAGAAAAATGATGTAACATTTATTAATTTCATTGTTCAACATTTTCAACATTTAAATGAAAAAAATTTCTATCACTGTTCGAATTGAAATCGGTTTCAACGCTGTCAACCTCTTCCAATGGAAACTCAAATACTGCGCTAGCAATGGGCACTAATGTAATGGCACCAAAAATCGAAATAACTATGAATATGATTGCTAAATTGACTCTTACAACTGCTTGATAGCTTATGATTGGAGTACGGTTGATATACTATGGCGTGAGACATAACAACGATACCTAAATTACCTATAGTAAATTCCAAAACTCAAAAAATAAACATCGCACAAAAGGTGCATGTTTCAAAGAGACTTATTTCCTTATTTGATAATCAAATTTTGAATTTATTTTTGTTCTTGTTGTAACAGTTCTAATTCCTTCTAAAGAAAGACTAAAGATCGAAAGAAACTATGCAAATATTTTTTTAGATAGATGAGATTATTCAATGTATTTTATTTGAATTAATAACATTTTCGATACAATTCATTTGATGCATTTTAGTAATGACTTGGAAAAGTAATGTAGATATCATGATTTTATTTGAAATGTTACTTTTTGACGTAGAGCAATTGCGGGAATAAAAGGGGGGAGCCGAATGTTGTTGATTGAATTTTTGATTCAAGCCTTCACTTCTGGTGATGAACTTTATTTATACGGAGATTTATTGCTCCGAACGATGAACATTCTTCATGTGATTATTTGCGTTGCTTTTTAATGAAAAGCGGGAATTGCACCATTTGCATGGAAATGGTTTGTCACCAGTATGATGATTTCGCATGTGGCTTTTTAACTGCACTGGACTATGTATCAAAACTTGGCAGATGTAACATTCAAAGTGGCGTTGATTGCAATGCTTTCCATGTGCATTCTTGTCGTCTTCGTTTGCAAATCGACGACAACATTTGGTGCAACGAATTGGGCACGGTTTCGCATGAATCGTCAAATGTTTTTTCAAATCGCCTTCCAAAACAAATTTCCAGTCACACACATTACATTGGAATTGTTTTTCGCCTGTATGCTTTGTTTGCATGTGGTATTTCAAATGACCTTTCAGGAAATATTTGTATGGGCAGAGATAACATTCGTATCGTCGACGGTTGCATCGATCCTCGTGTGATTTTTTAATGCTTTCATCAGCAAATCGTTGACCACATTTTGTGCAGGCAAACGGTAGTTGTTTGGTGTGAGTGCGCAAATGTTGGCGAAGATGATTTTTTTGTATAAATGTTTTTGAACAAACGCGGCATTGGAAAGGCTTCTCGGTACTATGGATTAGCATGTGTTTCTTGAAATCTGACAATTGATCAGTGGTGTATTTGCATACAATACATTGGTATTGTCGTTGTTGGCATTGATTTTGGTGATCGATCTTTTCGACATCTTGGTTGAATCCTCGACGACACTTTCGACAATGAAATGGAAATTCGCTGGCATGAACTTTCTTGTGTCGATTCAAATGACCTTTTTGTGTAAAAGCCTTGGCACATATTTCGCATGCAAAAGGCTTTTCGCCGGTGTGGGTTCGTATATGCGTAATGAGCATAGATTCATACGAAGCAGCATAACTGCACAAATTGCATTTGTATTTCCTTTTATTTTTTGCTTCGGTTGAATCAATCTGAATTTTTGCATTGTCATTTTTCTTCGTTCCTATTTTCTTTATTGCTTTTGTCTTATGTGCGTGCTGTTCTATGTTGCCATTTGGGTTTAGTCTTGGGTTGGCTCCAGTTGTACCATCGTGGCCATCGAAGGCATTGTCATTTACGTTTTCATTTTCTGGTGCATCACATTTCTTCTTCGAACATTCGTCTTCCTCGATCTTCATCTTTGTTTTGACATAATCAGGCTCGCTTTTCAAATGCAGTTCGTCATCGCTCTCGCTCTCTGATTTAATCGTGCCAATTGCTTCGATTGGCGATGGTGGTGGTGAGCATTGAACCAAATATGCGTCATCAATTGGTTCCACCTTTTCCACTTTGACGTCGTTTTCGATTTTGATTAAGAACTTTGAGTTGCTCGGCTTTTGCTTTCGCTTGCGTTTAACTCGACCATCTGAGGTGTGAAGGTACCCACTGAATTGGAAACCATGGTGATTCTGTCTTAAATCTGTAAGTAATATATTGGAATTTATTAGTTTTAAAATGGAACAATCTGTTATGAAATCAGATATTGCACAACAAAATCCATATGATCAATGCAAAGAGCTACATTTGTTCATTTTTTCAACATTCGTGTGTTTCAAAAAAGTGCCAATAACTTCACGAAAAATATACTTAAAATGAAGAATTATGGTTTTGTTGTGAGCAAGATGTTTGTATTAGTGATTTAATGATAAACATCAATTGCAACACCATAATGACGAAAAATTTCAAGCAAATGTCAAACAAGCGACTCGGCATAGAACGTGATGTCATGGAAGATTTTGGTGAACAAAGAATGTTCTAGAGAAAACTAGCATATTCCCAGAAACACCAAACTGTATTGAAAATCGAGAAAATCCATTCTCTACTGGACACAACAGATGTTTTCAATCCAAAATTGGTTCGATTAACTATGAATTCATATGTAAATGCCAAAAAATGTAGGGGTAATGGGGGCAGAGTGATACACGGGGCACACTGATACACCCCAATTTTTTTTAAAACGGTAACACAAAATGTCAAACTTTTGTTGTATTCAAATCAGCTGTTAATATGCATTGACTGTGAATTCTATGTAATTACGAACTTCAGTGGCAGCATTATTTGGGACTTGAACTGAGTTACGAGTAGTATCATGCAATTTGGCAAATACTGAAGTTGACGGTTGTTCGTTATGCGCCAATTGTGCCTGTGGATATGGATTATTTTCAATCGGAACGTTTGAAATGCTTTGAATAATTTCATTCACAATTTGTTCCTTATTCACTGTTTTAATAAAGTCCATTCGCTTCAAGATGGGATCGAAAAATGCCCATCGAATGGAAAAAACCAATAAAAAAAATCTAATGATGCAGAAAGTTAGGGTTTTCAATCCTCTTTCAAACGGTATCCAAAGTTTTCCGATATCTTTTCATTTGGCTATAATATTCCAAATTGAAAAAAAGTGTATCAGTCTGCCCCCACCTCCTCTAATAACTATTATTATTCCAAAAATTGAGAATGAGCGATCAAAATGATTTTATTGAAAAATTCTCAAAGAAAATTGTTAATTTACTTGTTTGGACTGGAACTAATTCAATTATGTCTTTTCACTGTCTGATTCTCACTCCAAAATAATGGTTAAAAATCACCTTTAAATTATTCAATATTTTTGGGCGCAAATAGAGTGCAATTACATGTTACTCTTTCCAATGGCCATCTTTATCTGTCTGCTATGCTTTTATTGCGCAGTGCTCTCAATGAATAAGCTCAATTTGTGAAGTTGGCAACGACAGCAATGTCTGTTTTGGTATTTTAACGAACCAGAATGAAGTTGGCAGTGCTTAAATTCAAAATTTCAGATTAAACCAACGATTTTCAAAAGAAAGTCGTTAATCATTTTTTGAAATAAGCAATGGAACTTTAATTGAATTGAAGTTTTTACCTTAAATTTTAAAGTTTTAAATGGAGTCAAAAAATGAGGAGTGAAAAAGATGCAAATGAAGAAAACTTTGGATGGGTTTATTCAAT